TTCTGTTGTTTGGATCAGCTTTCCTTTGCATGTGTGCTGACATTTACCTAACTTTCTGTCCCTCCACTCTAACCAAGGATGCCTGTTCTTAAATTCCATAGCCTGACTTTCTAGTCCACAAGGCTGGCCAGGAGCTCTCATCTGTGTCCGAAATAAGGAGATAATATAAACATTGTGTTCTGTTTATGACTGCAAACACACTCACACACACACACACACACACACAGACACACACACACACACGCAGTATCTCGCTCCCTTTCTCTTCCATTGATCCACCACACTAACGTTGATCAAGTTAGCTAGCAAGTTAGCTACAGTTACGTTAATGATAACCATGCTAATTTCACTTACCGGGTAAATTTGCGGTAGCGCCGGGCTCGTTGTCTGTCACCTTTAGGACAACCGCCTGACCTGGCTCTTCTTCTGTAGTGGTAATAGGGGAAAACTTCGGAAAACATTGAAATATTGTTGTCTGTTTTCGTTTCATGTTTGCTTCCTGTTTAGCGCTCCGCGAACTTGAATGGTGGACGGATCAAATTCTGATAACGTTAGAGAAACGTGGGGTTTGTCAGAGCCGAACAGAGTGTGTTGCTGTTGCGTAGCAACAGGCCACAGGCGACGGAAGCCCCAGACGTCCAAAAGTATTAACACAGAAGAGGCGAAAGCGTGAAAGCGCAGTCACAAAATGATGTTGTCACGTATCATCGCTCATTTTGAAGAGGGTATACGGAAATCACTGGCATTTTCTAGTGGGTATACGGCGTATACCAGCGTATCACATAGACTACACCACTGGGTGTACATGCCTTTTTAATAACATTTTTGAATGGAACATTCAAAAATCAAAATAAATATAACTTAAATATACATGACCTCTTAAATTAAAATAAAGTGAAAATTAACAAGGGGGCGTGGTTCGGCCCGCCGCGAAGCCCCTTAGCTGTGATATAATGAGCATATATCACGGCCTGAAGTGAGCTATTGCTTCTATAAAACGGTTACCAAGTGTGGCAATATGAAAGAAAAATACACACTCTAATTTAAATAGTTTTTTTATTAGTAAATAAAGATGTTCAATATAAAATAGTCCCTCTGTTGCCTTCTGCACGAAACATAGTGCGAGGTGGTTGCTATGCAACAACACTAACAGCTAGCGAACATATTAGAGCGTTGATCCATTATTTGGCTATTTATTTACATTCATTTTTCTATGTTGCCGTTTATTGTGCAGCCACTGAAAAACTGTCCAGCATCAGTAGCATGGCTTACGTGGTTACTTGTATAGGTTGAGGTTGTTCTAGGCTGTTGCTTGTCGTGGCGAGAATATTGCTCCACTTTCTCCGGTCCCCGAGATTGGGCTTCCAGTAGCTCTGGAGAGAGCTTTCGCACCTGTGGCCACTAACGGTCATAATTTCTCTGCTTTGTTTCAAGACCCGCATCAGAAAGCTTTTGAATGGTGCTACTTTTCCAGTTGGTCGACCTGCTCTTCACGTAGCTCTGCATGTGGTCGTTTAGGTGCTTTCTGGAGATAGGCAGTCCTCAATCCACTCCTCCATAGTAAGGCCACCCCGGAGGTCGAAGTTAACCTTACATGTTTCCATCTTAAGCTTTGGGTTAGTTTCGTAACGGACGTAATGTAACAGCTGTAACGGTTGTAGCTTTTCTCAGACGCGGAGGGATACTGAATTGTTGTGAAAAGTAACTACAATTCTACCCGTGATATACGCTCATTATATCACGGCTAAGAACCAATCAGATTGCTTGATTTGACTTGTCCGTTTTATAATGAATTATATATGTACTTTTCTCCAGTAAATATATTACTAGCATGTCATCGCCTCTTCTGCTCTTTAGGAAATGGACATTGACGAGATCCTGAAAAGAGCCGAGACCAGGGATAACGACCCCGGACCCTCCACGGTGGCAGAGGAGCTACTGTCTCAGTTCAAGGTACGAAAACATCGTTCATATCTTTTATAGAAAGTGGTTGTACAATTTATTTAAAAATGGTGATTCTCTGTTCTTCAGTACTGTGACATTGACCGTTGTTTCTGACCTGACCTGTGCAGGTGGCCAACTTCTCCATGATGGATGAAGAGGATTTAGACATGGACTCTGAGCGCAGTCAGAGGAGTTGGGACGACATCATTCCCGAGGAGCAGAGGAGGAGGATGGAGGAGGAGGAGAGGCAGAAGGAGCTGGAGGAAATCTACCTGCTGCCCCGCATGAGGAATTGTGCCAAACAGGTACACAAGAAACCCCAAATATAATAAGGCCTCGTGATTTAGACCTGATGATCATGCTTATATTTCTACCCCTTGGTGTTAAATAGAGCGGTGCAGGGATGACGTATTTTTGTAGGCCAACCCGGAAGGAAGCTGCTGGTTCCCTCAACATAAAAGCAACTGGATTTCTCCTTAGGATTTTGGAATATTGTAAAAAATAAGATCTTTGGAAAACCAACCTGTTAGATAAATCCACGTTTTGTTCAGCAGGATAATCTCCACACGTCTACCCTACTTTTATAATGTTCTAATCATAAATCTAATCGATATATTTATGATCCCTGCACCACTCTATACCAACTATGTGCAATATATACCTGGCTGCTTTATCTTCAGAACTGTTACAGGATGTTTTTTGTTTTTTTTAATGCATGCTTCTTAGTTAAGGGTGCGTTCACACCTGCCTTGTATAGTCCGGTTGAATCTAACCCTGGTGCGTTTAGCCGCTTGGTGCGGTTCATTTGGGTCGGTGTGAACGCAGTCCGAGACCTCTGAAGGGAACTAAACAACCGGATTCTGGTCCGCCTAAAATAGGTGGCCTCGGAAACGTTTGCTTGCGAACTCTGGAGCGGTTCATTGCCGGTCTGAACGCAGTCCGCACCAAAACATAGGAAGCGTAGTATTTACGAATCACAACAACGCGGATATCTTCAAAATCTTTAGCGAAAGAGTCTTTCAAGACATCCGCGGTTGTTTAGTTAAAGAGTGAAGCAGAATTAAGTGTTGAACAGTGTCGTGTAAAGTAAAAATTCTCCGTCAGCTACATAAAAGTAAGAACACCTGTCGTCGGTGAAACGCTCCTCCTTACTGCAGAACGTCTCTCATTATATGTGTTATAATGTTTTTTAACGGACGTTGTCTGATTATATAATCATATGCGCGGGCCGCTATTGTCTGTTGATCTCCAGATTAACAGCAGCATGAGAATAACCTGCCGAAAGTGCCGATGCTCCATGGCGGAGGCTCCGGTAGATATTAACGGGATTTGCGTTTTTACCCCCTTAATGTCTGACCAATGGGTGAACAGCATTTCCGTGCACATGACTTGTCTTTAAAGTTTATAGTCCGTTTGAGTTTTGGTGTGAACGCAAACCGAACCTTCTGAAAAATGAAACAATGTAACAAACTGTGGTCTGGTGCGCACCAGAGAAGCGGACTATTAGGTGTGAATGCACCCTAATGTTGCTCTCAAAGTGCACCAGATTGATGCTTTTAACTTCAATATTTAAAACATTTTTTTCCCGGGGGAGCATCCCCCCGGACCCCCCTAGAGGAGGTGAGGTCCACTCCCCACTTG